TCTCTCTCTCTCTCCCTCCCTCTCTCTCTCTCCCTCCCTCTCTCTTCAAGAAAAGACAGAAAAAAAGAAACGAGCTACTCCATACGATTTAGAGAGAACATGGTTGAGGTGAATGAATCATGAATTTGCCCGGGGGGGGGCGAGGTTGGTTATCGCATCACAATGGGCGTGAACCCAAAGTTTAGATTGTCTGCCGGGCGGTAGCTACTCATGACGTGGAGATACAGCGGAAGCCTCAGGTATCAGATGCACAATCTCCCCATCGTCCGTCTCCCGTAATTCCACTCTATCTACTGCGTATTACCTGGTCAAGATCCAATGCGAAGAGTGCTTGTCAGTTTCAAGGCAGGATGTTTGTCGGGGGATGAAGTTCGTCTCCACTTACAAGTATACCTGTAGGTCCCCTATTTTCGTAGATAGTTTAGCTTTGATCGAGGCCCCGATACGTACAGTGTCCTCGGAGTATATGTTAATGCGGAAGGAGGGAGAAGAACCCTAGCCGCCCACACACACACACAAGCCCCTAGTGGGGTTTTGGGAATCTCAAAACAAGGGACAAAATAGAAGAAGAATAAGAAAAAGAAAAAATCCACTCTCGAAAATAATCCCCCCCCCCCCCCTCTTCTATTCAACCATCTACCAAACGACGCAGGATTCGACTTCTTTGCGATCTCCCTCTCATCGACATCAAAATCTCTCAACGACCTTCCCACCCCCCCCAAAAAAAAAATCTCACTTTACCAATCCGCAGCAATGGCTCCTCAGGCAGTATGTACATGACACCGCTTTGCTGTTGAGGCTTCACACACTTCTCTGCTGCTGCCTCTTCTCTCCCGGTCACTGTGGTCCCGAACCTCGTCATCTACGCTGGAGACGCTTCTCGACTTGGAGGGGGAAAACCCTTGGACGGACGCACAGACATGGTGATGGAGAAGGAAGCAAGGGAGTCGTGAAGCCTCGTGTGTGAAAAAAAAACAAGAATGCAGTAGGCTAAGTGTCAATTTTTATCTTCTCTCCCTTATAGAAGAAGGGTGGCAAGGTCCAGGCCAAGAAGGTATTTCCTCTCTCCTTCCTCTTTTTTTCTTCCTCGGCAGAATTTTTTTTTCCTTCAAGATTTCAGAAGAGAAGAAAGATGCTCTCTCTTCTTCCAAGGTGAAGCTCAGTCTCTAACACTTTCCCCCCAGTACATCATCAACGCTTCGCAGCCCGCCAACGACAAGATCTTTGACGTCTCGGCTTTCGAGAAGTTCCTCCAGGACCGCATCAAGGTCGAGGGCCAGACCAACAACCTGGCCGACAACGTCACCATCCAGCAGAAGGGTGACGGCAAGATCGAGATCGTCGCCCACTGCGACCTCTCCGGCCGTTACCTCAAGTACCTCACCAAGAAGTTCCTCAAGAAGCAGCAGCTCCGTGACTGGCTCCGCGTCGTCTCCACCTCGCGCGGTGTCTACGAGCTCAAGTTCTACAACGTCGTCAACGACGAGGCCGACGAGGACGACGAGTAAATCCGTCCTTCTCAACTTTCCAAAAAAAAAAATTCGAATCAGAGGAGAATTTTGTGACGGGGGAAAAAAAACATGGTCAACGAGGTCATCTATTCAGAAACTGTGCTTTAGTGCATAAGCCTGGCGCTTCGGTGGAATTTGGGGGTTTTTTTTTAAAAAAAAAATCTTCTTTTTTCTTCTATCGAGACAATATCAGATATAAAAAAAACCAACCGTTTGGTGTTCTCGGGGGGAAACAAAAAAAAAATACACCCCCCATCTTTTCCATGCTTTTTCTTCTTCTCTTTGATGCAGTGATGTACTTTTTTCTTCTTCGTTTTTATCATTATTTTATCCTTGATCCTTTTTCTCTCTTTCTCTCTTTCTCTCTCCCCCTCTCTCTCCCCTTCTCTCTCCCTTTCTCTCTCTCTCTTCTCTCTCTCTCTCTCTCTCTCTCTCCCTCTCTTCTTTCATCCCGTCAAATGTTCTCAACCATGTGAGGATGACCTAGGCGATGCCGCGCATGACGAGCTCCCAGACCAGCAGAGCAGAAGCATTGGTGGGGAAGGCCCTGAGGAAGCAAGGCATGAAACCCCTAAAGTAGGCCCTCGTGCCGCCCTCCCGGTACAGCGATACGGCGGCGGCCCTCCAGCTGGGGTACCTCGGCGTGCCGTCGCCGAGGCCGCCGCCGAGCGGGTCCGTCATGACGCGCTGCTTGACCACGTCGGCCGGGTAGGCGACCACCCAGAAGAGCTGAGCGCTCAGGCCGCCGGCCCAGAAGTTGATGGCCGGGTCGCCCATGCCGGACCGGCGCCTCATGAGGCCGGAGAGGAGGTCGTAGCTCGTCCACCAGAAGAAGAAGAAGGACCGGAAGATGAGGGTGGCCGTGAGGCCGTGGTACAGGCCGGCGAGGCCGTGGTGCCGGACTATGCGGCCCACGCAGTCCACCGGGCCCGAGTACAGCCTGTCCGCCTTGGCGGCGGCGTACTGGATCTGCAGGCGGGCCTTGACGTGCTCCACCGGCGCGGCCACCATGCTGACCGTCGCCCCGGCCATGACGCCGGCCACGCCGTGGCCCGCCGTCGGGAGCGCCGACCGGTCCACGCCGTACACCTTGTCCGCCACCAGCCGCCGGTACACGTTCAGGGACCCCATCAGCACCGAGTCCATCACCATCCAGCCCACCAGCGGGGGGGACGCCCCCTTGTACAGCCCGCGCACGCCCTCCCGCCGCACCGTCTGCATCGCGCAGTCTACCGCTCCCTTGAACCGATCCGACGTCTGTAGACGGACCTTGACCGTGTCGAATGGGTGACCGACTGGGTGTGCACGTGCACGTGTGTGTGCGCGCGTCTGTCTGTTAGCTCTTCTCCTCTTGTCTTGGGGGGAGGGTTTCTTCTGTTCTTTGTTCTCTGTTCTCCGTTCTTCTTCTCTTGCCTTGTTCTTTTTGTCTCATTCTTTTCATCCCCCTCCCCCTTTTTTTTTTTTCGTTCCCTTCGTTCTTTTCGTCCTTCCTGTTCCTCGTCCGTCGTCTTCTCATTGTGCCTTCTTCCCCCCCTTTCTCTTTCTTCTTCCACCCCCCTTCTTTCCTCTTTTTTATCTTATCTTTACTCATCTGAAGGCCGCCATGTAGACTTACCTGCCAATTTGGCCATCCCACTAAACACTCCCGCCACAAATCCCTTGTAGTCGTGACTACCAGAAGGTCTAGACGCCTCGGCATTGGTCTGCGTAAGTTGTTGTTGCCGTTGTTGTCGTTCTGCTGCCATTGTGATCCTTGCTGTTGTTGATTGCTTCTTAGAGGGTGGGGAAGGCGGAGAATACGCGTCGTCGAGGCTCTTCTTTCTTTTCGTGCAATCCCACAATCGCAGTAGGAGGAATGTCGGCAGAGAGAGCGCGTCGTCGTGGGTTCTTGTTCTCTTGTCCTTCCAATCCTTCGATCGGGATCATGGGGAGCGGGTTTTTTTTTCCGGCAAAATCTTTTTTGCGGCAAAGAGAAGAGTAGATGGAAAAATTAGGAGAGAGAGAGAGAGAGAGAGAGTAAAGCCGGTCGCAAAGGGTGGGTGCTGCTGACGTTTGGTACCTCTTGTTCCGAAGTCGGTGGGGAGCTAGAGAGAGTTCTATTTTTTTTATATGTTTTGTTTATTTATTTTTTGTTAATTTTTTTTTTGGATTGTCATCTTGTGCAAAACACAGACGGGAAGGAGGAGGGAGTTACTGATTACACTACTCCGCAGTGGTGTGCGTTAGTAAACATTTAATTCTTATTACGCCTCCGGTTTTCCTCTCGTAGTAACTCCCGCACCTTCGTCTTGTTACCGTTCTGGGGTCGACGTTGATTCTATGTAGTCAGACCGCTCTCGCTGTACTCCCGCAATTACTATGACATGCAGTGAAGACTGCACAAAGTATTGCATGGGAAGAGGACATTTTTAACCCCTCTCTCTTTTTTTTTTTTTTTTTTTTTTTTTTTTTTTTGGATATTTTTCCCCCGTTTCATGACATGATTATTTGCCAAGCTGTTGGTCTGAATAACGGTTGCTTCGCTAGAATTCGGCGGATGAAGTTATCATACTAGCACTCGACACGATGCAGTATTTGCTTGGTTATACTGTAATATAACAAGTTATTACACTACGGTAATCTAAACATGGCATGATACATGGTCGTGTAGTCTGTATATATATATTAAATAAAAAACTCCTAAACGACTTCTTGAATACGTTGGATATCTCAGGTACGATGCAGTAAACCAACTCAACTCACAAACTCGACAACCCCCCCTCAAAGACATCAGGTATTACAGTTCAGTCAAACCATCAATTCACACAAAGGTATCTAAAATACTTCAAAGCCTCGTCACAGTAAAACAAGAACCTATCTACTGCATCCCTCCTCGTCTTGTAACTATCAGGAAAAAAAAGGAGGAAAAAAAAGAAAAAGAAAAAAAGTTCCCAGCTCATCCCTTAGAGTCCTCCCCTATTCTTCCACTCCCCGTTGTACTTTACAAACGGGAGAAGGAAACCCTGTCATGTCGTCGTCATGGATCAGATCAAGAAAGAGCAAACAAGATAAATAAAAAACAAATCAACAAAAATCGCCAGACTGGAAAGCTGGTCATCGACTCTTTTTCCCTCTTCAATCCTTCTCCCTCTTTTTTTCCCCCCCACCCTACCTGCATTATCCCCCGCCGGTAAAGAAGAGAAATGCACGGTTGAAAGGAGGCAGATATCTTCGTTGAGAAGTTTTTGACAAGAATCGGAGTCGCCCCGGGATTCTTCTGCTCATCGCTCTCCTCTCTTTTGTTCTTCTTGACATATTTTTCAAGGTGGTCTGTACGTTTTGTTGTTATCGCCGTATCGTTGGTGAGATATATTGTTCTGCTTGACATATCTCCAGGGTGGTCTGTATGTTTGTTGTTGTCGTCGTCGTCGTCGTCGTCGTCGTCGTCGGTATCGGTGCCATTGGTGACATGTATTGGTCGCCACATTATTCGATGTCTGACAGACTCGACATCCTTGTAAAGGACACTCTGTATCGTAAATTTTTTTTTTCTGGTTGTTGGTGAGATAGCTCGGGGGTAATGGAAATGCTGCTCGACACATCATCTTCAACACCTCTGAAAAGCAAAATCTCCCATGGAACAGGCAAGGACAGAGCGGGCATCGTCGAAGAGGGAGCCCTAAAAGGTATCCGTCTCATTGCTGGCGACGGTGCCAAATGTGTCTGATAAGAGTCGTTAGGATGGAATGTCCACGAAGAATAAATCACCAAGCATGGAAAGGGGAGAGAGAAGAAGAGAAGAAAAGGAAAGAAAAGGAGGGGAAAAAAGAAGAGAAGGAAAGGAGGGGGGAGAAAAAAAGAGAACAAAAGAAAGAAGAAGAGAAAAGAAAAGAAAAAAAACTCACCCCTCTTGCGCTTCCTCTCTTCCCTGGCAGCCTCATCCTCAGCGCTCTTGGGAGTCATGGCCCTCGGCCCCGTCGGCCGCCGGGTGGGAACGCCCAGCGCGGCATTGAGATTGCGGTTCTCCGGCCTGGGGCTGCTGCTGCCGCTCATGGGGCTGGCGGGCCCGGGACCGGGCGAGGACGAGGGTCCGTCGTACCCGACTCCTCCGCCGACATCCGAGTACATCTGGCTCGAGAGGGGGCTGCCCTTTGCCAACCTCGAGATGCGCGCCCGCGGCGGCGTACGGCCGGTGAAGTTGCCGCTCACCGAGCCGCCCTCGATCGGCTCCTTGGGAGGGCGGGGAGGGCCCTGCGGCGAGGTGGCGGCCGTGTACTCGGCGTCGTGGCCGGCTCCCGACGAAGCGTTGCTGTACCGGTTCGTGCTGGTCTGCAGGCCCTGGAGGCTGGTCGACGAACCGGCCCAGTCGACCGACCGCGGCGTGGCCGGGTCGTTGTACTCCTGCGCCGACGTCTCCAGCGCGGTCCGGAAGCGCTCCGTCTGGCCGGGTCGGGGCTGCGGGTGCTGCAGGTTCAGCGAGTTGCGGTGCGCCCTGTACTTGGGCTTCTCCTGCGTCGGGCTGACGCCCCTCGCCTGTCCGTGGGCCAGGGCCGCCATGTTGGGATCCGCGAGCCCCGCATTCATCCTGTCGTCCCCGTCGTAGTACGGGTTGTGGTCGTACGCCTGGTCGTAGGAGCCGATGCTCGAGCTGGAGCGCGACGGCGGCACCTGCTGATCCCCGTCCTTGGACTCCCTGTTCTTGCTCCGGAAGGCTTTGCCGACGCTCGAGGCCGTCGTCTCCGACCAGCGGGAGATCTTGGGGATCCAGCCCGACGAGCTGCTGGACTTGTGCTTTCTGGCCTTGTCGGTGCGCGGCGTGTTGCCGGCGCTCAGCGTCTGGTGCTGCTGCTGCGTGGGCGAGGCCAGGGGCGAGGCGAGCTGCGAGGGGCTGTCGGGCGGGACCGAGACGCCGCGCTGCGACCTCGCCTCGGAGCTGTTGCCCGCGCCGGACATGACGGCGTCGCCGTGCTCGCCGCGCTCGCTCGCGGGGCTCGCCGGCTCCCGGTCGTACCGGTGCTCGTCCTCGTGCTCCTGGACGGTGCTGACCCTGTTGTCTGCCAGGCTGCGGTCGCCTCCTCCTCCTCCGCCTCCTCCCGCCGTCGACCTGAGGCCCTGGCTGCGGCTGGGGCCGACGACGGACGACAGGCGGTCCGATTGGCTGGCGTGGCTCACGGTCGAGACGCCCTCGGGCTCGTAGCCGCGATCCTGCTCGGCCTGGCCGTGCATCTGCAGGAGCTCCGAGGACTGCGTCGGAACGCCCGAGTCGGGGTGGGCCGTCTGCGTCTTGAGCACGTCCACCTCGCCCAGGAGCTGCATGAGCATGTCTTCGATGCGGCCGAGGTCGTTGGTGCCCTTGGTGCTGAGCCCGGCCAGGGCCCTCTTCCAGAGGTTCTTCTTCTTGCTGGACGCGTCGTCGAGGGTGACCTGCTGGGAGCTCTGGATCGAGCGCGAGGCCGTGGCGCCGGGGTAGGGTCGGGGCCCGCTGATGGCCTTCTGGAGCCTCTCCGTATTCTCGGTGCCGGAGAATATGACGTCGTCTCCGGTGTCCTGGATGAGCTCCTTCATCTCGCGGAACGAGTTGCGCATCTCGAGAGCGGCGTTCATCAGCAGGGCCACGATCTCCGTATCGCGCGCGCTCCTCTGGGCGTCGCGGACCATGAGCTGCGTTGATCTGTTAGCTTCTCCGTCTTCTCCGACGTGGGGGGATCGTGTGCATGCTTCTGCAGGGCCCGACTTACGTGCTGCATGAGAGCAACGATATCCTTGTTCTCGATGCGGTCGATGCCGTTCCCGGTCGAGGCGTCGTAGAAGGGCGAGCCCATGCCGTGGGACATGCCGCTAACCTGCCGCTTGTCGTCGGCCCCGTCTCTCCTGGAGACGTAGAAGGGGTCGTCAACGTCCATGGTCGGAGGGGCGGCCGAGAAGTCGAGTATGGCCTTGCGCTCGGGCGCGATGGCGGGAGACTGGGCGTTGGGTCCGTTGGATATGTAGCCCTCGTCGTACTTCTGGGCCACGGCGCCGCCGGGGCTGCCGGTCCGGTAGCCTTCGGCGTACGAGCCGTCCAGGCCGCGGGCTCCCAGCAGGTCGTCGCCGAGGGTGGGGTTGGCGACGGGGCTGGCGTCTTCGTAGGGGTTGGTGAGGAGCGTGTCTCGCTTGCGGTCGTCCGAGGTGCGGTGCCAGCCGTCCTGGTCCTGGTCCTGGTCCTGGTCCTGGCCGGGTTCGATGCCGAGGCCACGGCCGCCGCCCGAGCTTCCGTCGCCGGCCAGCTCGCGCTCGTGCGCGGCGAGGCTGCGCTGGGTCGGGGTCTGCATGCCGGACCAGTCGCGGTGGTCCTGGCCGTAGTCGCCGTCGTCGTCATCGTGCCCTCCGTCGAGCCGGTGCTGGACGACGGACGGCTCCGTCATGGCGTCGTCGACGTATCCGATCTCGGGCAGCGGGTCGTCCAGGTCGGGGATGCCGGACGCTCCGAGCTTGGGGGTCTCCTCGTAGGAGAACCTGTCGACGCTGTGGGCGGGGGTGCTCCTGGGCTCGTAGCCGTCCATGGTGCGCTGCCTGAACGACTTGTTGCGCTCGACACCGACAGGCGCCCAGTTCTGGCGCCCGCCGTCTTCGCGGCCGTCGTCGTCGTCGCCCGCCGTGCCGGCCCGCCTCCTCTCCTGGGCGGCCTTGAGCGCGGCCGCGGCGGCGCCCACAGCACCGGCGGTGATGGCGGCCTCCGAGGCCGTGGGGGACTGGCGGTAGCGGGACCGGGAGCTCACGACCTTGCGGCCCTGCTCGTCCAGCTCATACTCGGGCAGATGCCGCGTGCGGTCCTCGTCCTGGTCCTGGTCCTGGTCCTGGTCCTGGGATGCGGCGGAGAGGGCCGACTGCTTCTCGCCAGGAGCGGACCGACGCGGAGCAGAGTACTTTTCGGGGCTGGCGCCCCGGCTGCCCCGTGCCTGGTAGGAGGCGTCGGAGCCGGGCTGGCTGGCGTTGTTGCGGCCCGAGGCGCTGGTGAGCAGCGACGGGTCGAGCACGGAGCCGTCCACCAGGGAGGCGACGTTGGACTCGACGGCCTGCCGGGGGTGGACGACGTTGGCGTTCCCGGCAGCCCCGACGCCGCGGACGGCGTGGCTGGCGACCGAGGACTGGGCCAGCGACGACTGGTTGGGGAGCTCGCTCTCGTCGGTGTACATGGCGTCGCGGTAGCCGGTGGCCGAGTCCTGGAAGCTGTAGGCCTCGGCGGCCGGCACGTGGTCGTGGCCGTGGCCGTGGCCGTGGTCGTCGACGTCCCTGCCCCTCGCGTTGCCCGGGGTGGACTCCCTGGAGAGGGTGGAGCCGGCGTGAGGGGCGCCGCGCTCGAGGGACTTCTCGTAGGCCTCGTTGATGGAGTCGATGCTCTGCGAGTGCGTCGGGTGCTGCGCCTCGCTGCCGCCCTCGGTGTAGCCGGACACGCTCGGGATGGGGCTCAGGCCGCGGGCACCGGCCTGGTACGGCACGTACTTGAGGGGAGGGGGCACATCCTGCCGGCTGTAGTACTCGTCCTCGTAGCCCTCGTCGTCTGGGTAGATGCTCGGCTCCGAGTATGGCTTCTCGTGTTCGTCGTCGACGTATCCTCGGCCGTGGTACTCGGACACGGGCATCTTGCGGCCGTACTCGTCCGTCTCATACCCGTCGGCGTACTCGGCCTTCTGGCCGCGGGGGAGGGCCTTGAGGTCGCCGTGGGAGACGTTGGCATGGCTGGTGCCGAGGGTGCGCTGCAGGCTCTCGGCCGCGTCCTCTTCGTGCGAGGAGCTCCCCGGTGCCATCTCCTCGCTTGCCGAGCGGGGCAGGTCGTCCTCGTCCAGGGAGAGGAGCGAGGTGCGCGTCACCTCGGACGGGTGGAGGTCGCCCATCAGGGGCACGGGCGGCGCCGGAGCAGGCACCTCGTCCGGGTGCTCCTCCGCATAGCGCTCGCGGCCCAGGCTGCGGCTCCTGGTACCGTCCGCCCGCCTCCTCCGCCTGTCGCGCTGTCTCCTGTCCTCCGACAGCAGAGACTCGTCGTCGACGGAGGAGAGCGCCCTGCTCGTGGCCGAGCTGGTGGCAGCCTTGAGGAGGTCGTCGGCGCGCTTGGGCGTGGTGGCATCGGGGTCGTCGTCGTCGCCGTCGCCGTAGCGGTAGTCGTCGTGGATCGATTCGCGGCTGATGGTGTGCGGCGAGCTGTCGCCGTAGTCGTGGCGAGCCTCGCGGTTGCGCCTCCGGCCGCTGCTGCTGGGCCGGGCGGATGAGCTGCGGCCCGAGGAGCGCCTGCGTTGGTCGGGCGTGGCAGCTTCCTCCCTGGAGAGGGAGGTGCCCACCGACGTCATGGACCCGCGCCGGGTCTCCCGGCGGCTGGACTCCCGCTTGAGGGCGCTGAGCTCCGGGAGGATCAGGCGGCGGATGGCGTCCTCGACCGTCTCCAGCAGCTTGGGGTTGTTGATGGAGGGCGGGTTGGAGGCGCTGGGGCGCATGGAGTGCGCGTCGAACGAGCGGTGGCTCTGTCCCGCGTTGGCGGAGACGGCCGAGTCGCCAGCCGAGACGGCCGACTCCGCCACGCCACGGCTGGAACGCTGGTGCCTGGACGACGGGCGGTGCTCGTCGACGGGTTGCTCGCTGCTGCTGCTCGCCCTGCTCTTGGAGCGGCGGGTCCGCTCCGGCCTCTCCTTGGGCCTGTCGGCGATCTTCACCCGTTCTCTCCTCTTGCCGCTGCGAACCTGATCCGAGGGGGCGGCCGTCAAGGCGGTGCCCGGACCGGTCAGCGACGATCCGTGGGCGGACGGGCTCGATGCCCGTCTGGTGTCTGTCCCGCTGGGACCGGTGCCGTCGAGGAAGCTGTCTGCGGGGATGGCGGAGATGTCGGAGGCGTTGACGCCGGCGTAGCTCCCGGACGGGTTGATGCCGGCGTAGCTCTCGGGGGGGATCAGGGGACTTGCTGGGCGGCGCCGGCGGCGACCCTGGTCGATCTCGATGTCTATCGGGTTCCTCGACACGTTGGACTCCTCGGTGGCGGAAGCATACGAGGCCAGGCTGTTGGAGTCCTCGCCCGGGTCGGGCAGTTCGATCTGCCGCGTGGACGGCCCGCCGTCGTCGAGGGCGATGCGGCGGGACACGGATGCCTTGCGGGACGAGGAACCTTCGGTGACCTGGAAGTGATCCCCCTTTCCCCTCTTGGACGGGGTCAGGCGGACGCGGATGCTGGGCTTGCGGCTTGCCCTGGACCCGGAGGCCGAGTCACCCGGGCTGCCCCCCTCAAAGTATTCGATGAGCAACGAGGTCTGGGACTTGTCTGACCTGTGGCCGCGAGTGCGGATGGTGACGGGGGTGCCGTCGTCTGGAATGGAATATGACGACTTCTCGTCGGCCAGCTTGGAGACGTCGGACGTCATCTCGGTGGGCGTGTTCGTGTCGGTCTCGGTGGGAGCTGGCAGTGGCGGCGCGCCCCTCTTTGAGTCTGCACCCATGCTCTTGTGGAGGGTGCAGCCTCAGAAAGGCGGCGTCGTTGTCGTTGCCGTTGCCGTTGCTGTTTCTGTGTTGCTATTGCTATGCTGCGTTGCTATCGCTGTGTGGCTATTGCTGCGTGGCTATTGCTGTTCGATCCCCAAATCCGTTGTTCTTCCTCTCTAGAGGAGCGAGCAGGAGGAGGAGTCGCTATCGGCTCGGCTCGCCCGTTGCGGCCCGGTTGGAAGGGAAGAGGGCGCTTGGTCTGCCAGAGGAGGTGGACGGCGAGATGGAGGGAGATGGAATGCGGGAACGGGCTGTCAAGACATGTGGCATAAGAGAAAGATACAACAACGGCTGGGGAGAGGGGAGAGAAAGAATAAAAATGAAAAGTGAAAAAAAAAAAATTTTTGAAAAAATGAAAAATAAAAATAAAAATAGAAAAAAAAATAGAAAAAGAAAACACTGAGAGAAAGAGGAGGCGCAATGTCAGCCCGAGATGAATTGACACGCAGACGACACGCACGCACACAAACACAACCCGATATTGTCGCAGTGAGACAACAAAGTCCCAGGTGGTGGCAGGTACTCACATTAAGACAGGGCCGGCAGACGGGAAAACGGAGGAGAGGAAAGTAAGACAGGGATGGTGGTGGTATGTGGGAAGGAAAGGGGAGGGAGAAGAAGAAGAAGAAAAAGGAAATAGGAAACAAAGAAGGCCGCCGATGAACCAGATGTTGAACAGGAGGAGGAAGAGCAAGATTCGGGTGATGAATGGTTCAGCTGGGAGAGCAGAGCGGTGGAAGACTTCTCTCTCTCTCTCTCGTCCTCTCTCTCTCTCTCTCTCGCTATCCCTCTTTCTTCCCTGTCTCTCCCACTCAGAAGAGGGAAAGGAACGACTGCGGGCAAGTAGAAAGGTTGGGTGGAGCAGATCAGAGGCGGGCGGTGGGCTGGGCTGGCTGGCTGTGGGAAAGAAGAGCTGGAACCACCTGGGCGACCTGGCAACCGGGCAACGAAGAGTGGATGAGAAGCAGGGGTCTGGCAGTCTTTTCTCTCTCTTCCTAGGTGAAGGTCGCCCGTTGCTGGTACTTTTTCTTCTTCTTCTTCTCTTCTTCTCTTTCTGAGCGTGTTTCCTTTCTTTGCTTTTTCTCTATTTCCTCCCGTCGGCTTTTCATTCGTATCCTTACTGGTGGTCGCTGTGTCAGCTGTACAGTCACCTGTACGGAGGAGTGATATCATGCGTTCGCGGGAGTCTCGACGGTGTCGTTGTTGATGTATGGACACTGCAATGGTAAGAGCACCTCTCTGCTATCCGCATCAGATACTCCGTACGTGTGTAGTAGTGCTGTTGTCAAGGTCAGCCCATACATCCCGTCAATGATGATTATCATTAGTATTCACATGTACGAGCGCTATGGAGTGACGATGGCAGCAAGAAGAGAGACCATCACCGAGAGATCAGCAGATAATGGGGCAGCCTGTTCTCTTACAGGTTACTCCCTCCTTTGTTTATATCATGTCCAACCACACACACCTTCTCAACCGGGTGGGTGCCCTTTTTTTTGGGGGGGGGGGGAGGGGTTATGATGAGTTGGCGCTGCCGACACTCCTGTCCAATAGAGATGGCGGGACAGGGGATAGGCTGGGGGGTCACCAAAGGGACAGGGATGTCTGGCCTGGAAACCGTGTGCCGGTCGGTGACTGAATAGGATGGCTTGACTTATTAGCTTGGCCATTATGATTACCCTTTGGCATCACCTGTACGAGGAGTATCCGTACTCCATAATACATAGTACTCCGTATACGAGTACAGATTGCATTGCATGACCCGTATACGAGTAGATACATGTTATGACCTGTTCAGGCTGGCTGGTCCTGCTACTCGCTACTACTACTTACTACTTACTACTACTATACTACTACTACCACCACCAATACTACTACTACTACCCGCTACTACTACGACTACTCACTACTACTACTCGCTGCTACTGCTACTACTGCTGCTACTGCCTGCATACCACATGCCACGCTGTACGGAAAACCTGCAGTACGGGGAGTAATACTCGTACGACTGATAATGCCGCCCCCATCCGTAATCTGTCATGCTCTCCAGACTGCGCGGTATGCCCGTTCATGTACCGTACCTCTCTCTCTACGGGTAACAGATACTGGTGCTGGTATTGCTGGTCTCATCATTACTGCCATCTGTACTCTGGTACAGAATACAGCTTGCTACTCAACCAGTATCCGTCCTCGTAGCTTGTATAGCAGATCTCTCTCCTCGGCCGGGAAAGACCTCTTCAGCAACGCACTCGAATCGCATTATCATCATCATCTTCCCTTTTTCCTCTTTTCCTCTTTTTTTCTTCTTTTTTTTTCTTTTTTTTTTCTTTTTTTTCTCCCCTCCCCCATCAAATAATGTCGTCACTTCAAATGCGGGGAGGCTGGAATGGGAACTTGTCAAAACGGTCAGAAACGGCCCGCCCACATGGTCCGACATTCCAGTCACTCACTATACAATCCTTATTATTACCCCTCCTCTCACCTCTCTACATATACCTGTAGGCTATGCTATACAGGTACGACTCCCGTAGTATTAAGAGGGAGAACCCTCTGAGAAGGAGGGGATAGAGGATTCGCTTAGCCGTACACTAAACAGATTGGTCATTACAGGTACTCGTATCACTCTGCATCATCGCCACCACTTTGGCTTCTCCCTTCTTCTCCTTCTCCTTCTCCTTCTTCCATCTGCATTGATATGGATTCCCTAGATTACACACCTGCGCACCAGAAGCCTGACTTGCATACATGCCCCGTACTCGTACTCATGCTGAGAACGCCACGCACGACCGGCGGCGTGACCACACTGTTACCTTTACTTCCTCCCCTCACCCCCTCCTCAGGACCCCATGAATAAATACTGCACGACCCGAAAATACGACGTGCCACGATTTTCTATTCCCCTCTCTAATCGTATTGCTCTTCTTATTCTTCCTTCTTCCTTCCTCCTTCCTCCCCCTCTCTCTCCCTCTCCTTCTCTCTCTCGATCTATATATCATATCAGCTCCCTACTTCCGTACCGTCCTCTTCCTCTCCCTTATGCAAGGATCTTCCCAGGGGAGAAGAGAGGAAATCCGCTCTGTCCCTGGTAGACTACGTCGTGTCGCCATATCTGAAACTGCGGTGAAGCCACCTTCGCCTACCCCACGCCACTGGTTCACGCAAGAAATGCCCGACACGCACACTTGTTGACTCCTCCTTTCCTCCCACCTTGCTGCCGTACTACCAATGCGAATGCTATGACTACTACGAATACAGATTATGCTGCTGCTGCCATGACTACTCCGTACTTTTGCAGGCTCTTTATCCCGTCACCGGGTCACCGGGATATCCCTTATGATCCAAGAGAGAGAGAGAGAGAGAGGGGGGGGGGGGGGGGGGGGGGGGGGGGGATGTCTGTGCCTGCTATCATTCATTATCCAGTGAAATACTTGCAGCATCGACCTCCACCGCCACCAACACCATCATTCCCACTCATTCTTCTCCGTCGGCGATTTTTTCTTCTTGTCGTTTTTTTTTCCTTTTTGGGAAAGGGAAGACAAAAAAAAGCAAGGGAAAAAATAGGACGAGAGGCTGAATTCATCCGTTACTTCCCTGATAGCTAAAGCTCCGCTCTCCCTCTCCGTACGATTACACGGATTAATATCCGTAGATGCATGCAGGTCGATGCAGATGGAGGAGTGTGTCGATATATGTCTCTGATCCAACCCACATTGTGGATGTCGTGTGCAACGAAAAGGGACTAACACTCTCGTGGCAGGTAAGATGACTTCTTTTTCCACTCTCTTACCATAACCAGAAACAGTACGCCCCCACCACGTCTCCCAGACGACCGAGAAATATAAGAGGGAGAGAGGGAGGGAGAGACGCCGGTTCCTGTACCGTACCTTACGTTATGCCCGACAGATGACAGTTCACGATGCTCGCCTGTTACACATATGCCATGTGTGTCATGTATGTATCGTCTCGGCTCAGCGGTCCCATATTAATATTCATACTATCCCCTTCTGCTCGCCCCAGTAAGCGACGACATCTATAGCGATATTGGTGATAAGGAATATAACAGAGTAACGTTATACATGACACATCGAGTCCCCAGGGTACTTTATCAGACCAAAAAAAAAAAGGCTTCGTTGTTGTTGTTGCTTTAAATTTTAATTTTTTTTTGCCTTGATTTTTTTTGTTGCTTTTCCCCAGGGAACATCGTCAGAGGAAGAAGAGGAAAAAGAAGGAGTGTGAAAGTGTGAGAAGAAGAAGAGGGGGGAAGAAAAGAAAAAAAAAGACCCGCTGTATAACGCTCCGATGTAAAAGTAAGGTAGAGAAAGAACCGCATAAAAATCATTCCTTTTTGTTTCCCGCAGACATTGAACCGGAACTCCCCCCTCCCTCCCCCGCCCCCCAATAGGTCCTGCATCACCTCGTTGCCGCCGCCGGCGGTTCAGCAGGAGGAGCATAGTACCCGGGCAAGCCGGCCTCCAGCTGGCCCGGTGTCTGCTGCTGCTGCTGCTGCTGACCCCACGCGCCGGTGGCAGCAGGACCGGCGGCTTCCCTCTTCCCATCGTACGGGGGGGGCGCCTCTCCGAGCTCGTTGAGGCCCTCGGTAGACTCGTCGACGGCTCTCCTCCTGCCGCCGTGGCCTCCTCCGGGGCCGCCACCCCTCACCCTCCCAGCTGCTCCGCCGAAGCCGCCCCGGTCGCGTAGTCGGTATACGACTCCGGGGCCGGGGCCGGGCCACTGGCTGTTTCCGCTGCCGCCGTTCTGCGCCTGCATGATGAGGTTGCGACGACGGTTCCTTCGTCGCATGATGAACATGAGGGTGAGGAAGGATAGGACGATGATGAAGACGGGGAAGATGACGTAGTTGGTCGTCGTTTCGGCCATCTTGGGGCTGCTGTCTCTTGTCGGTTGTCTCGGATCGATCGACGAGTGGGACGGAGGGAAGAGACAGAGTGGTGGCAGTAGCAGCCGCAGCAGGAAGCGATCAGCCGTTGCGACCTTCTTTCGTGGTGATGTATTCGCCTTTTTCTTTCTTTCCCCCTTCTTTCCCCTTTCTTTCCTTTTCTTTCCCTCTTCTCCAACCTCTCGATGCGGGTGGCGCGGGCGAGGCGCAGTCAGAAAAGGAAGCTTGGTGTATTTATTGCCCCCGGCCTGCTACTCTCTTTCTTGTACGGGTCGAGAGCTCTGTATAGGTTGGAATGTGACGCAGTCGTAGATCTCTTCGGTAGTCGGTCGCGTGTTTGGAGGAGAAGAAGAGTGTCGACAATGTAGGTCGAGTAAGTGAGGGAATATGGGATGATGATTGTTTTCGGAAGGAATGGATGTTGGGTTGATTTTAAAAATAAAAATAATGATAAAATAATTAACGGCACAGGGGGGGGGGGGTAGATTGAAAAGAGAGAGAGAGAGAGAGAGAGAGAGAGAGATTGGGTAGGAATGGATTATTACTAGCACTTTTTGGCTTATAATTATTACCACACCTTGGCACTAGTAGTAGCAGTTTAGAGAGGAAGAGAGATAGAGATAGAGAGATAAAGAGAGAGAGAGAGAGGGAGGGAGGGAGGGAGGGGGAGGGAGGTCACAAGGTACGAAAGTAGTAGTAGGCTTACTTCTAGGTGGTATGTATGGTTGGTGGTGGTGGTTAATAGTAGGAGTCTACTTAATACTCCCCCCTCCGTACGAGTCCATACGAGTAATACTAGAGTCACTTCGTATCCAGCAAGTCAGAAACTGACAAATCTTGGCTGCCGGGGGATCTTAACAACTGCGACGTTGTTGTTACTCGTATAGCCTGGACCTGGCCGGGCCCGGCGTTTTGAAAAGAGGCCCGTCCTTTTCTTCCTTCTCCCTGAATTCCGTACATTGACAATTTGACAATACTCGGATAATGCACTAGCACCATACAGTATTCTGTACAGATTATTATGCTCGTGCTATCAACAAGGACCATTTTCTTTCTGGTCAATCCTCAAACCCCCAACCCCCAACCCCCCCTCTCCCCCTCTCACGTTCTATCGACAGTCGGTTAAATGACATCCTTCCCACCTGTCGCTGGTCTAGAACTCATTTGATGTGTGTACGAGCGAGTACGTGGCGGTGACATCACATCCTCATTGTGGCGTACGGTACGGACACGTACTCGTTAGGTACTTGACCTGGGCCACCAATCAGCCTCTGCTGACAAGTCTGCCTGCTCCGTTTTTTTTTCCCTCTCTTTTCGCTACTCTTCCACTCCGTACATTTGTTCGCCATCATCGTCACCATCTCGTCATTCAGCCTCTTGCTGTTCCGTCATCTCCCTACCTTGGATCTCTCTACAGCAGAAACCCAGCAATAGATTTCTTCTTTTTCTTCTTTTCCTCTTCTTTCCATACATCTTAGATACACATATGCATATATGCGCATACACACAGCGCACACGCACGCACACGTACACACAGACAAACATATATTCTGTCCGCCATGCCCCGTGCCATCAGAGGTATAGTATATCTCACATCCATCCCATCCCCCCCCTCCATCAGTGCTAAGCCAATGCCACGCCAGCTGCCCCCCCCCCCCCCCCCCCCCCCCCCCCCCAGCGTGCATTTCTGACGAGATCAACCCAGGCGTCCTGATCGAGTGCGATCCCTCCATCAAGTCCATCCTGGTCAACATTGACAGTCAGAAGCACGAATTCATCATCGAGGATCTAGACGATGAACGCGTCGTGGTCAAGGAGAACATGGTAGCTGTTTTGAAGCAGAAGCTAGAGGATGTATGTTTCCTGTCATCCCGAACCTTGTCACCATGGTACCGACTAACTCTTTTTTCTTCCAAATTCCCACAGCGTCTCAAGGAAAATCTCCCTCCTGTAGATGAGTCCGGGTCCGAGTAGTAGATGTTGACGAGTATCATGCCTAACGAACCATGTCATTTCGAGTCACAAACAAGCGATTGAATTTTTTTTATCAGCGCGCGCACACGCACACACACAGAGAGAGAGAGAGACAAATCTAAACATTCAGAAAGAACAAGACTGAAGAATCACGCCCTAGAGCTTCGAAAACCTTGGCGTCGTCCTAGCAAGCGCACTCCCCAAACCCTTGGCCATGTCATCCCCCTGCACGGCGACCGAGTTCCAGACGGCCGTGTACCGCAGCGCCTCAGCCGTAGTATGCTCCCTCCCATGGTTGAGCAGCTCCTTGGTCCCCTGCACGGCGACGGGGCTCTTGCCCGCTAGCAGCGTGGCCATCCCGACGGCCGCCCTCACGGCCTCCTCCTTGGCCTCGCCTTCGCCGCCATGGCCGTCGTCGCGTCGGCGGTACACGGCGCTCACGAATCCCTGACGGAGGGCCTCCTCTGCGTCGAAGACGCGCGCTGTCATGCACACGTCCTTGACCCACGACAGGGAGCCGACGATCTTGGGCAGCCGCGCCAGCGTGCCGATGTCGGCAGGCATGCCAATGTCCACCTCCTTGACGGAGAAGCGCACGTCCGAGGTGCAGATGCGCACGTCGGCGCAGCAGGCAATGTCAATGGCCAGACCGTATGCTATCCCGTGCATGACGCCTATGACGGCTATGTGTCCCTTTTCTTGTCAGTCAGGTAGTCCGATCCAATCCAGAGAAATCAATGCAAAAAAAAAAAAAAAAAAAAAGTCCAAAGCAATAGAGACAAACCAACCAACCCCCCCCCCCTTCCTCGTGGTTTAAAAAAAAAGAAAAGAACGGTGCGGAGAACAACAGAACTCACGCTTCTCACACCGTTCGATAGCACCGATACAACGCTGGAAATCCTCGATAAACCCCCTCAGAAACTTTGCCTTCCTCGTCGCGTCCACCCCCTCCCCCCCCGGAGCAACGAGATCCCCCCCGCCGCCCTGGACGTCCAGCCCGGCCGAGAAGCCCTTGGTGCCCGCACCGCTGAGAACCACGGCCCTCACGTCCGCGTCGGAGCTGAGCTGGTCGAAGAGCCTGCCGCACTCGAGCCACATGGGCTTGCTGAAGGCGTTGATCTTTTCCGGCCGGTTAATCTCCACGTGGGAAACGCCTGGTGCCGGCGTGGTTACGTGAAAGTGACGATATGTGTCGTAGGTCATTTTCCTGCTTTTTTTTTAGGGGGGGGGGGAGGTGGTTCGTCTGTTTTTCCCTTATTGTCTGATCTGGTTTGGTATTTGGTCTGGTTTGGCGTATAGTTTTCGTAGTACGTGATTGCATATAATACATATGCAATCGACACTTCTCTTCCGTTTCAGGACGGAAATAAAGACGTGAAGGAGAGAGAAGGGAAAGAGGGAGGGATGAACGTATCGGGTGGATGAACTATGGACCAAGTCGGTAATATGCATACAACAACGTCTGTACCCCACGCCGAGGTCATTACGTAGCCGGTTCATGTGGAAATGCCGAGGTCACCATTCATCCAGACTACGCCATCACTGCTCCTATAGCAGCACATGCCTCCTAGCATCACCATTATCAGGACGACAGATGTAGAAAACGCAATTGACAGCTATGGCATGTACCGAATTACAAAACGAGTATCCCTCCTCAAACTTTCCAGGACCGAATCAACTTCTGGACTACCCTGCGTAGGACAACCAGGAGAGCATTCTTCTTTTTTACAATACTGCAATTCCCCCCTTGAGGGGACAAAAAATAAGCACACCATCTTGCGCACGCCATTGCATAAAAAGGTAAGAGATGAGAAGAAAGCGAGCAATAGAAAAAAAATTTAAAAGAGTAAAGAAATAAAAAAGACAAGAGTACATACTCATGCTCTGAATCGTCCTACTCTAAAATAGACCCCTGAGGCCATCCCGCAAAAGACAACAAAGTCAAGAAAAAAACAAGTCAAAGTGGCACCTTTCTACAGCAGGAGGGTACCGACAAAGGTGGCGGCCACGGCGGCGACCACGGGGAACATGGCGGAGATGTGCACGGTGGGGGCAGCGCTGTCACCGTCAGAATCAGAATCGTCGTTGGACTGGGTGCCCGTGGCGGTGGGGGAAGCCTGGCCAGAGGTGCCCGAGGCGGTGGCGGTACCGCTGTCGCCGGCCTCCTGGGAGCCGGAGCCGGAGAGACCGGGGCCGGTGCCGGCTCCCTTCTTCAGGTACTGGTCAGCCTCGGAGGGCATGTCGGGGATGGCGTTGCTGCTGAGCTCCCAGCTGGAGCCCTTGGTGGGGCAGGGAACAGAGTGGGTGGTCGTGGCGGCGTCACCGTCACCGGTGGGGGTAGGGTACTTGGCGAGGGCGCTCTTGAAGGCGGCGTACTCCTTGGTGGGGGTGACGTCGTCACCGTCAATGTTGACGATGCCGTAGTTGTTACCCTCCATGGAGTACTCGTACATGAGACCGCCAGAGTAGACGCCAGACATCTTGGTGCTCATCAGGGCGCTAAGCTCGTCAAACGTACGGGGACGGTTCTCGATGCAGCCGTACTCGGACAGACTGTGCCGTGGACGGTCAGTAGAGGATTCCAGGGTGCCGTGGGAGGGAGCATGTCAAGAGGCTTACAAGATGGGGAGACCGTAGTCGGTGAAGTTCTTGACCTTCTGGTCCCAGCCGGAGGTCTTGAAGTCGGAGTTGCACCAGGAGTAGTCGTTGAAGGCGAAGAAGTCGGAGCGCATGTCGTCGGAGCCGCAGTTGAAGTAGTGGGCAGTCTCCATGCGGTTGGAGGCGACGTCGGCGGCCGAGTAGCCAACCGGGACCTTGCGGAGGCCACGCGAGTTCAGGTAGTTCTTAATATCACGGGTGACGGCCTTGACGTAGGGAGCGGCCTTGTCGGTGTCGGCCTCGTCGTTGATGACCTCGTTACCGGAGAAGAAGGCAAAGGTGTTGGTGTAGCGGGAGAACATGTCGACGGTGGCGAAGACGGACTGGAGGTAATCGGCGTTGTACGACACCTGAGGGCTGGCACGGTTCAGCGAGTACTTGGACGTGTTGACGTCAAGGACAAGGTAGATGCCAGCGTCAGCCAGAGCCTGCATGCACTCGTCGTGGTCCTTGCTGTTGTCGACGGCGTAGACACGGACGGTGTTGACACCGAGATCGGCGAACTTCTTGATGTCACGCTTGCAAGTGTCGGCATCGGCAAGAGGGTCGGTCTCCTTGGAGGAGCCACCAGGCTGGTAGTCGATACCACGAATGTACCAGCGCTTGCCCCCAGAGTAGAAAGCTGCCGTGTTGATGCTGCGTCAGCCACACCGAAGCCAGGGCCGGCAGACTGCCGATTCTTTCCATCTCTCGCTTCACTTACCGTTACCGGAGACCTCAATGGTAGGGAGGGTCGAACGCTTGCTGGGAGGCTGCTTCTCGGTCGGAGTGGGAGTAGCGGCAACGGCGCCGAGGGTGGCGAGAGCCGAGAAGAGGGTGGAGGCCTTCATCGTGTCGTCTTCTTCGTATGTAGTATGGTTTTACGACAAAGAGATGCAGTTCAGTGAGCGGATATGTCAACAAGGACAAGAAAAAGGGCAAGAAAGTTGTTCTTGGTCTAAAAATGTGTGTGCGACTCTCGAAGGAGTGAGAGAATCGAGCAAGAGAAGAAGATTGTTTAAAAAAAAAAGGGCGGGATTATTACGAAAAGTCCAACATGTAAAGAGGGGGTTGGACGGGGTATAAAGAAGAAGAAGAATGTGGAAAGAAGAAAGACGAGAGAAGATGGTTGGAGGGAGGAGAGAAGAATGGAAGGAGGGAGAAGGGTTGAGACCGGAACGGGGGAGAGACAGGACTTTCTATTATGGGGGGGCCTAACGGAGTCTCGAGACGGTGCAGGTGTCGGAGGGAGGGGATGAGTAGTCAGTCCAGAGCGTGGGCGCCCTCCTTCAGATTCCCTGTCTCTTCCCCCCTCTCCTTGTCCTTCTCAGGAGACAGAGAGGAGGGGGGAGTGGAGGAAAGCTACGTAGTTGGCGTGGTAGTCTTGTGTATTACGGAGGGAGTACGGAGAGTACAACTTGAACGTGTACGGGAGATGATGGGGATGGCAGGTTGTAACCGTGTGTACTCCGTATCAGCAATGCGCTGCGAGGCGTAATTAACGGGAGGATGGCTAATATTGGAACGTGCGTGAGAGTGGGTTGACAGCTGATACCAGCCGCCGGCCAGACAGGTTTTCCAGCGGCAGAGCACACGCAATACGGCGACAGCAACCGCCACCCAGTTACGAGGTAGTACCGTGTGTACTGGCGTGATACGGTGTACGAGTATACTCTGAAGCCTCGTATCGTGGACAAAGCTCCTCCCCTCTTCTTTTTTTGTTGTTGTTTTTGTTTCTTGGGGGGGGAGGGGGGGTTTTCAGCAGCAAAGTGCCAAACCAGGAAGAGAGGTCGAGTGGGACCGTAAAAGCGCTCGAGGATTGTCAATGTGGGTTTTACGTGGCCCACAGACAAGGACAACGGTGCCCACTGCCAACCACGGGCGGCAGGGGGGGGGGGGGGGGGGGGGGGGGGGGGGGGGGGGGGGGAGGGGATCCGATCACCATACGTCGTGGGGCCTTGGCATTTAACTAGTTTGGCTGCTGGGTCTTTTGACTTCTTCCTATATCCCATTGTATCAGTATTAGACTGTCTGTACGAGTAGTGCAGGTATTACATGTCGGGCTAGCTCCGTACCTTGTGTATTATACTCGTACGCGACCCTCCCAGAAGCTGTACGGGAAGGGTTACGAGCTGCTAGGACTAGCTGGACTGGCTGGTTGGCCGACGAATGGGAAAAAAAAAAAGAAGAAAAAAGAATGGATATGGGATACGAGCTCCTCGCCTCTTGTTCGGAATGGAATGTTGACGACGCGGTAGCGGCCCAGCCAAGTGTGGCAGTGTTTTTTTCTTCTTCTTTTCTTTGGTTTGTTTGTTCCCATCCACCGCGACGATACGCGAGTTCGGGGAACGGACCTATCACTGCGCTCGCAGCTGTCTCTCTTGGTAATATACTCGCAGCAATGTTAGCAGTAGACAGCTGGTTACAGTGGTTCAACGGTGGCGCCGCTGGTCAGTGGCGCAACAAGACGTAACAGTCGTAACGTTCACCGTACGCGTCATTGTCCAGTGAACGCGTCTTCCTGGGGCCTACAGGGGGGTTGGTTACAAGACCGCTGATAGAGAGGACACGCACAAGAAAGAGGGAGGCATCCCACCACCTTCTCTCTCTCTCTCCTCTACCTGATGATACTACTCGTAGTGTCCCTCTACTCTCTCCCTGCTACCACAAGCCTCCGACCCATCGTCTACAATGCTCTTCTTTTCAAGCAATCAATGCGACCGGTAACAGATCCTCCCCTCTCCTGAGCCCACGACGGCCACTGTTCCTCCTTCCGTCACCGGGCAATTGCCCGCATTTCATCTTACTGGGGTCCGTCCTTGCCGTGATTCCGTACGAGCCGTGACAGCCGCGGGCCCTGGGCGCCGGGGGGGTACGTGTAGAGGGAGCGCGGTATCAACTGGCAGCATGGGGGGTGCTCTGCTATAGCCTCTGCTACCCCTACAAGTAATCTGTACTCCGTAGAGCCTACAGGATTCTTTTACGGCGCCCTGCGTATTCCCGGCTCAGGTGCCGTGTATATATACAGATTATATATGTGTGTATCGTGGATGAATCAATCGATCAGTACGTATTATCGCTACGTACCGATTACTCGTATACATATATACTCCGTACTTGTACCTCTAGTATCATCTACCTGAGGCCTCGCCTCTCTCATCTCTCTTGTCTTCCTTCCTCCCCCCCCCCCCCCCCCCCCCCCTTCACCCCCTGCTTGCCTGTCCCATGGAGATTGTGATCGTTACGTCGCAGGCATGCGGTCGAGGAGACGAATGGAAGAGAGAAAGAAGAGGAAGAAGAGAAAAGCAAGGAAAGATTGATGACTGTGATGCTTCCATGCTCCACGCTCCATGCCGTGACCTAAAAGGTCTCGTGCGTGGTGTGTATTGATATCTGTATGTTTGGGATCGAGAGCGGGTACCCAGACCTTGAGAGACCTTGTATGAGGACAATGGAGCACGATGACGAAGCTGGGCCCCCATTGCTTCGCTATCCAACAGCGGATCCTTGTCAACTCTCGTGCTCTCGTACTTACCGAGACTTCTTAGCGGTGTTGCTCTCTTTTTCTCCTTCTTCTTCACTCACACCATCTTTCCCTCGTAGTAATAACAGTAGCAGTTAGCTATGCAAGGAATAATACCCCCCCCTGCCTGCACAGCCTCGTCACTCGCCCCATATCCCCATTATTTCCCTCTCACGCAATCAGATCGTCAGGGGGACAACCTCGAGGTCCTAGGCGCCTCGGCCCACTCCCAGCCGGCCGTCTGTCTAATTCCGAGTACTGACTTGTAGATACCAGACGCGTCGCTATTTTTGCACTCGATTTTGTTAGTCATACTGCTTCTGGTCCTCGTACGAGAGGAGTCTCTCCCCAACTCTCTTATTATCAAATCATCCTCTTTGCTTCTCTTAGATTGCTCTCATAACACTTGTAACCAAACCCACCGCTGGTTTACCCTCTTTTTCTCTCATCGCCGCAAAAGCCGTCGACATTCTGATCTACCTGCTACTAACTTCTGACGTCGATGAAAATTCCACCACCACCACCCCCCAAACCACCACCCCCCAGCACATCACCTAACACCTGGTTCCCCCCCCCCCCTGCTCTTCTCTTCCACCCCCAGCCCAAGCCAAGCCCAGTCCATCTGCATCTGCGTCGTCCCGAAGCCTGGGCATAGCAAGAGCCTGGCTTCCCGCGTGAGTGCCAAGCTGCCAAGACGAGATATCTTCCGGCTTCCATCGTCGAGCATGTAGACTAGCATGGGGGGAGAGATCCTGTAAGTCTGGAGTAAAACCACGCAGGTATAGATTCGGATCATCGTCATTGTACAGCCACGACTTCTAGAGAAGAAAAAAAAGAGTGATAGAGATAAAGATGGAGGTTTCAATTTTAATAGTTACCAATACCACCGCCCTTTGCTGTCCAAAAGTACCGAATCGTGCACAGGCAGCACCGTGTCCCTCAAGACATAACTCGCACATCCCCGAATCCTCCCTGTTGATCACAATGTCCAAGAATTCACACTTGAGACCAAAGGGGACCAAGATGACGCCGACGTCGCCTCTGTACGAGATTAGGTCCGAGTAATGTTGAAACCGCCCACGGGAACTGTGCAGCTTGCAACTCTCTTCCTTCTCCTTTTCCTCTTCTTCTGCCAATTTTTTTCATAATGAAAAAAATTAGATATCTTACGTCGTTGATGCGAGTGTCCACATCTTTCTTTGGTAAAGTACGGTAATGATATGAGTAATTACCCATGCCTATCATTACTCCGTACCTGCCCAGTGGTGACGTGCACAGTGACATGCACAATGCTTCAGCTCGGCGCCTTGGTTCCTGAGGCTCCATCTTCTTTCCTGTCTCTTTACCCATATCCCAGGTTGCGGATGCACGTACATATCTAAGGAGACCCAGAAATAATCCTATTTTTTTTGGTGACTATAGTAATAGGTAATGCACCACCGTATTCTCAACTTCTAGTATTATGCTAGTGCTATTGCCGATATGGTGTGATACTCTCTACTCTCTTGGTCTAATATTCCGTAACATGGCCGGGCGTGAAGCACGCAGGCAAGGGGATGCGAGAGAAAAGACGGCATGGAAGAGGACTCATACGTCAGAGAACCCCATCCCCAAGCGTGTCGAGGGGGGTTAGGGGTCCACTGCTCCCTCCTCCTAGTCGGAAAAATGGCTTCAAGGAGGGGGGTTTCATTCATTATCGACAAGACTCAACGAGAGAAGTTGTCGCATATGGAAGAAAATTGACAGACGCAGAGGTGTTGCCCAAGAAGATAAGGGGCGAGAGGGGGGGAGAAGGCAGGAGAGAGAGAGAGAGAGGAATACAGCGCCTAGACGTGGAACAGATCCTCTACACCCGCCCATCCTCCACGAGCCCTCTCCTCCCAGTACGAGTCCTTCCCAGTCTTCATCTTCCACTCCTCTTCTCCCTCGGCCGCGTTCTCGGCCGCCTTGACGAACCACCTGGGCTTGTACTCCTCTCCCCTCTCCTCCAGCTCCCTGCGCCGAGCCCTCTGCGCCTCCTCCAGCTTGACCTTCAGGTTCTCGGCGTCGTCCAGCCTCCCCTGCTCCGCCAGCCGCTGGTCCGGCCTGAGTCGGCTGTCCGTCGGCGCCAGCTTGCCCTCCTCGATGGCCGTCACCTCGTTGAGGCCGGCCGCGAACTCCGTCAGGCCGTACGTCTGGGGCGCCCGGTCCACCAGCTTGCCCACCTGCCAGATCTCGTCGCGCGGCGCGTTCTTGCCCGGGCCCACCGTGCCCAGCCCCGTCGTCCAGTTGCCGGAGAGCCCGCTGCCGGTGTTGCTGCCGTCCGGCCCAAACGTCGTCACGTGCACC